TGCACCATTTCCAGTTTCAATTTGTCCTAATACTTTGTCAAAAACTCGTTTTTGTGCGGGAAGCAAGCGGGGTACAAATTCGGCTACTTGCTGTTGCAAAGCTGGTATATCGTAGTTTGTTTCACGTATAATTTCATCACTTAGTTCATTTTCGGTTGTTCGCTGAGAGCTTATCATTCCAAAGTCGCTTAATTTTTTGTCTACCATTGCCATTACTTTATCTTCAATTTTTCCAAGTGCTTCATTATAAATGTGTTCATTGTATGTCATGTTCGCGTGTGTCTGCTGTAACCTTCACAAAATATCTTCCGCCATGTACTCTTTATATTTGTCCCGCAATTCATGTGCATTAGATAGCCCGCAAGATGATATGAGAGTTGCATAAAGATCCCTAATTTTGGCTGGTGACTGGCACTGCACAGCTTCCTCCATGGTTTCATCCCAGTGATTATCGTTTTCAAAAAGATGCAGAGCTTCACATGTTTCTCTATATGTTGCGCATTCCTGACCGTTGACAGTTTTAAGGTCTTTATATCCTATAGGACCCCGAACATGGTGCGGCAGCATTCGTAAACAGGAACATTCAAAATTAGTTACATGGACGGTATACACACGACCAAGGGCATCATCTGATGACTTTACACCGGGCTAATTTGCAACAGGCGCGCCTTGAATACGGCTTTTCCACTCCTTCCTAGATGTGTTCCAAGTATAATAGCGGAGGACTTTAGAATATAACAACGTTTTTGCAAAGGGGTCGGTTTGACAAAGTTGAAAGAAGGCTGTTAGTGTAGTTTTTGGCGGTGATGCAATTCTTTCTTGGAAATTTCTTTCGGTGAAATATACACGCTCTCCATTTTCTAAGTGCACAGCAAGGTGAGTAACTGTTGGGTGCCTTTCGTGTAAAGGGAAGCCAAGGAGACGCCACGCTGCCTCGTTACTGCTGACATAAGGCCCTGCTTGAAAGGTCTGTACTTCATTAACGGGATTTGCCTCACCTTCACTCCTGAGATTAAATATTGCTTGGTCGCTTCCTTTATTTATGTACTTACAGATATACTTGATTGCGCGGACAGAGCTACATGCTTCTACATTAATGTGGGCATTAAACATTTTACATAGAATGGGCGAATACGGGATAATCCAGCTGTTATCTAAGGTTTCGAACGCTCCAGAGCGAGATTTGATTGTAACTTTCCTGCCACCATCTTCGGGAGCTCTGCGTCTGTATAAAGGGTAGCCATTGTCATTGTGCACTGTTCCTTTTAATAGCTGTTTAGGGAATTTCTTTGTACATTTTCCTTCTTTCATACATGGCGATATTGAATTTCGTGCTCCACATGGACCGTGAATCATATTTCGGACGATGGTATCATACAATTCTTTATCTTGCTCAGGATCCGGAATCTCGGCGTTTATTATGTCGTCTATTTGGCTGGGCCGCAACTTCTCTTTAAGCCATATTAGAATGTGGGCATGCGGTAATCCTCTTTTTTGCCATTCAATTGAATACATGAAGCACTGCACCTCTCCGAAAATTTTTCCTTTGTTAATTACATACATTAATTTTTGTACTTTTAATCTAAATACTCTAGCAACTAAATCGTGTCTGTCAGTACTTTTTTGGCCCGGCATCAGCTCCTCGGTTATTTCTTTCAATGTGGGATTGCAAGTAAAAGTAAAAAAAGATCAGGTCTTCCGTAAGTTCGTACATAGGCGAATGCGTCTTGTGTGTACTCATGTAGGTAGCGGGGACTGTTAACGAATGATGAGGGCAGAATTACCATTTTACCTAAATATCTGGGGTTTACATTGGCGTCGCTAGAAACTGCATCTTGTAAATGTATATAATTCTCAACGAGCAACTTTTTTTGATTTAAAGATATATAACGGAGACGTTCACTTTCTACCTTCACATACATGTCTACCAAAAACTGATGAAATAATTGTCTACACCGGGCTAAGAGGTTAAAATCATTTTCTCGCAACATCATATGATACGCATAAAAATCCATACATGATACTTTTTTGTTCGGAGTAGGCTCCTTTGTGACCAGGTTAATGAGTGGAATTTGAAAATGATAACCCTCTTGTCCTTTGCAATAAATCAATGGGTATAATCTATGGGCAGAGCGTCATAAAACTTGTGTGTATCGGCTACCCGTTGCAACGTATCATCACGTGCTCGCAAGACAATGTCTCGTGAAGAAAATTGATCACCACTAATTACGGCTGCTATTTCGTTTATCAAAGGTGCATTGTAGCGCCTTTCATGCTCTCCTCGAGGGGTCCGATCTGCGTGAATGACGACTTTGTAATCCTCTTCAGGTAGGTTTTCTAAAGCAGTTTTAAATGTTTTGACTAAAATGTTACGTTTATGCAAGAATCTTTGAATTTTGAACACTGTGTCTCTCTCAACTCTGGATAAATTGGCAGCGACGGTCTACCTCAATTTCTTCGTCACCCATAAAATATACTTGTAAAAATTTATGCTGTTCGTTTTCAGCTGGAAAAAGTGAACTTATTCTATGATAAATTTGCCCTTGCACCGTAAATGTAGGCGAAAATCCCGGCATTATTATTTCCCGGTCAACTCTGAAGGACGTCATTTGAAAGCATGAGTTATATTTCCGGATCCTGTTTATAAAGCGCTGTGACTCATAAGCATCATATAAAAAGAGAGTTTTCAAAGGTTCTTCTGGTTCCCCAAGTAACGGAAGAGACACTTTGCCATTGGAACAGCACATGCCTGCGGTCTCATTTTTCCATTTTAAAGCGCTGCAAAATCGACACGCCTTGTCCATCAGTCCGATAACAACTAACCTGTGATTTTTATAATCAATCAACGGATCATAATTGAATGCTGCGTCATTAAAAACCGACCAATTGTTTCTTTGAAAATTTTGTCGACGTTCAGCTTGGAGCTGTGCATTTGCATCTCTTCGCGCCTGTGTCTGTTCTGGTGTTTCAGATGCCCTTATAGTAGATTGATGTTCAGCTTGCTCAATGAATCTGTGTTGAGTTTCATCAGGTGTTTCCGCGGCTCTTAAGGCGGCCTGACATTCCGCTTGTTCTTGACTGACGTTGAGAAGGTGTCTCAGATGCTCTAAAAGCAGCCTGATGCACTGCTTGTTCTTGCCTTCTCAGTTCAGCATCTTCTAAAGATTCTAGCGATCGAGCTAATCTTTTCGCTTGTCTTTGAGAAGATACTCTTGAAAGGCTGGACTTACTTTTGCGAGGCATTATGAAGTAACAAAAAACCTATTTATAAAAAAACGTTAAAATACCTAAAAGGAATAAAATTTCCTTTTAAATATTTTTTTTAAAAGCAAATCCAAAATATCTAAAAGGAATAATTATTCCTTTTAAATATTTTTTAAAATCAAAACAACAAAACCAATTCAAGACACAACCCGAATCCGAAAACGATAGCCAAAAAAAAATCGAATCAACTTAAACCAAATCACAAAACACATCGAAGAAACCGAAATCGAAAGCAGTAGTCAATATAAATATAACCAACGAAAAAAGAAGTAAGTGTATAGGTACCGTATACACTATCTATACTATTAATATTCCTTTGAAATATTGTTAAACAACCTAAAACAACGAAAACCAATTCACGATTCTAAATAAACAAAATCCAAAATCAAAGCCAGAGTCTAAATATGTATAAAGGAAAGGAATACCAATCAAATCAACAAAACCGATCCAAGAAAATACAGAAATCCGAAAATGAAAGCCAATATAAATCCATTCAACCTTAACCAAATCACAAAGCAAATAAAAAACAACCGAAATCGAGAGCAGGTAGTCGAATAAGCTACGAAATAGAAACAATTTAAGCGTATAGGTACCGTATGCACTATAAGTTGACGCGCGCCTCAACGGCGGGAGTTAAGTACAATTCAGGAAACATTTCGTTACCGCGTTTTAAAAACCTAGTAACAACATCAACAAGAATCAATTTAAACTATGTATACGTTAGTTAATAAGAACTCTCAAAAAATATTTTTCTTATAATTTTGCACAATTTTTCTTATTGTAATACCGATTCATTCATAACCACATATAAGAACTGTATTCATTTCCGTTCAATAAATATTACTAAGGCTTATTAATAAGGCTTACTAAGAACTGGTTCTACTACAGTTAAGTAATAGTTAAAGGTGAAAGCGTGACAGGTGGTGATAGTATTTCTGATCCATACTTATAATCACGCCTGTAACCCTTGCGGGGTAGGCAGAGCATCAACGGATTACTTAATATCGTCTGCGAGGTTATCGCCTATTCTGTGAATTACAATGCTCCAAAACGTTTGAAGAAAATCAGCTGGTGAATTTTATGTTTTTTATCGCTCTCTTCCCGGTCCTGCGTGGAAAAATACAGATCCATACATTTTTTATCTTAATTTTGGTAAAAAGACATAATAATCCAGATATTCTGACCTTCTGTGTTCGTCCATCGTACCGTCGTCCGTCTTGTAGAATCACGGTGGCGCCACCTAGCTGAATTTAATTTTGCAACATATTCGATTTTCCCACGGGAATGAGATGTTTTCCGCGGAAAAAAGTAGCCTATGTCACTCTACAGCCACCGAACTATCCCCATATCAAAATTCATGCCATGCCGACGCTCTGTTGCGACGTGAAAGAAGGTCAAACAAACAAACAAACACACTTTCGCATTTATAATATTAGTATGGATCTAATATTAGTATGGATAAGTATTATTGTATTATTATACTAGCTGCTAGCAAAATTGTAAAAAATTGTGTTTTTGTTACGTATATACTTTCAGATGCATTTAGTAAAAAGCTGTTATTTTGATATTACGAACAGACACTTCAATTTTACTTATTTGTATAGATAATAAGTCTACAGCATCTACTTGCCATTAGGTGAACTATGTGCTCGTTGTCGTATGTCATACTTACTTCTATAAAAAAAAACTGATTGTAAGCTCTTTTATCACTTTAATGTAATAAAAAATATTTATAGGTCCTGTCAATCTGTGTGTACCACGCGATCAACCGTGTATGGTATATGCATAAAGGTACGGGTCAGGAGCCCATTGTTTATCTAACGCTGAGCACACTGCTTCTCACGCTGCTGGCCGTCGGCATGGCAGTTGGAGTTGTTCTGGCTGTGGGGGCACTGCTGTATCTCCAGGTGAGTCAGTTATGGGTCACTTATGGAGTGGTTATGACAGATTTATTGTGTATATTCCATTCTGGCTCCTAATGGTCAGGCTAGCAGTTGGTGCATGTTGTTCGGTGTACGATTATGTAATTCAGTAAAAGATATGTTGCAGAAATTTACCGCGTTGTGTTACTTAATACACTTATTACACATTGCATAATAAGTAAGGCGTTTGTTATTTAATATACAACACGACGTTATTAAATACAAAACGTAACGTTACTTATTACACAAAGCGATATTACTTATTACACAATGCGGTGTTACTTACTTACACGACGTTGCTTATTACACAACGAGGTGTTACTTATTTGACATACTACGTTGCTTATTACTTTTAAATATCAGTGTTACTTTTAAACAACATGGCGTTGTTTATTGCGTAACGCGGTGTTACTTATTAACACGACGTTGCTTATTGTACAACAAGGTGTTACTTATTAAACCAGAGGACGTCGCGTATTGCACAACGAGGTGTGTAATTATTAAACGAACGACATTGCTTATTATACAACGAGGTCTTACTTATTAAACGAACGACATTGTTTATTATATAACGAGGCGTTACTTATTAAACGAACCACGTTGCTTATTACACAACGAGGTGTTACTTACTTGACGAACTACGTTGCTTATTACTTTTAAATATCAATGTTGCTTTTAAACAACATGACGTTTATTGCGCAACGCGGTGTTACTTATTAACACGACGTTGCTTATTGTACAACAAGGTGTTACTTATTAAACAAACGACGTCACGTGTTGCACAACGAGGTGCTAATTATTAAACTAACGACGTTGCTTATTATACAACGAGGTGTTACTTATTAAACGAACGACGTTGCTTATTACACAACGAGATGTTACTTTAAAGAACGACGTTGCTTATTACATAACGAGCTGTTACTTATTAAACGAACGACGTTGCTTATTGCACAACGGGGTGTTACTTATTAAATGAACGACTTTGCTTATTACACAACGAGGTGTTACTTATTAAACGAACGACGTTGCTTATTACACAACGAGATGTTACTCATTAAAGAACGACGTTGCTTATTACACAACGAGGTGTGTAATTATTAAATGAACGACATTGCTTGTTATACAACGAGGTGTTACTTATTAAACGAACGACGTTGCTTATTACACAACGAGATGTTATTTTAAAGAACGACGTTGCTTATTACATAACGAGCTGTTACTTATTAAACGAACGACGTTGCTTATTACACAACGTGATGTTACTTTAAAGAACGACGTCGGTTATTATATAACATGCTGTTACTTATTAAACAAACGACGTTGCTTATTACACAACAAGATGTTAGTTGCTTCTTCACTACTGTGTGCGTACACCTTATCATTTTGTTTGTTGTAGCTCTCTTCTACGGTAAAAATTTTTTCATCCGAAAAAAGAATTTCTCGATATTTTTTTCCCGCGTACCGCTTCAACAAAGCGCGGCATCTCTTCAGTCTCAGGTCCATTAGACGAGCATTTAAACGATATCCTGTTTTTCTTCGATATGCCCGAAGCCCTAAGTCTTCATTTAACACCCTTTTCACCGTGGTTCTGCTTAACCCCATCTGAAGGGCCAACAGTTTCTGCTTACGTTTGGGATTTCTTTGAATTCGCGCCTTCACAGCTTTTATCACTGCTGGAGTCCTAACAGACCGAGGGCGACCACTTCTTGACCTGTCATCTACACTAGAGTCTTCATTGTATCGTTTGATGGTACGATAAACGAATCTTTTGGTTATATTCAAATTTTTCAGTATGTCAAAAATTTGAATTGGCGCGTAACCGCAACGATGCAACGCAATAACTGCAACTCGGTATTCTTTAAGCGTCCACTCCATATTTAAAAATGAGTAAAATTCTAAAAAGAATACAGTTTTATTTTTATGAACAATTCGAAATTCGAATTCAATAAACTTTTTTGTGGCCAGCATTCTAAAAGAAAAGTTTTTACTGTGTGACAATACTTATGACCTGACTAGGTATGGTAATAAGTGGTAAAATTAAGAACTGTGTATTAAAGATCCGGGGCATCCTCCGCAACCGTACGACTATTGAGGAGTGGATCGTGGAGAAGGCGGCTAGCCGGCGCGAGGAACAGGGCCTGCAGCCGTTCGTGTTTCCCTACGACCTGGGCTGGAGGAACAACCTCCAGTTGCTGCTGCAGGGGTCCAAGTACGATGGCCTGACCTGGCCGCTACTCGAAGGATGTGGCCCGTACGACCTAACGGTGAGTTTTTCTCTCTATTTTTACTCCATTGTACCAGAAGGAGGGTAATGTTTTTCGAGTGTATATACGTATGTAAATATGTCTATTTCTTTGGTACGCTCTCTAGCTTAAAGATCTTGATAGCTTTAAACATGTCGTGGTCGTGGTGTCGTTAGATGCGTCTTAGTTGTGGAAGTGATATAGGGTATAAAATTTATCTTTTCTTTGCAAAATATTTTACGCAGTCTGTTTTTTCGCCTTGTTGTCATTGGTGATGATGAAGACTTACTGACCAATTTCCACCACGACTACAATCCAGGTATACGCAAATCTGTCATTTCTGTCAATCTAATCGAGTCGTGGGAGCTATTCGTAGCTCTTTATCTTTGCTTGCAATGACTTAGCTTTGCCAATATAATATGTGTCATAGATGTTCTTCTCAGAGACTTGATTAATACGTTTAGTTCGTAAATTTTGTTACCATTATCGTTACAGCCCTTAAAAAGACTATTTCTAAACGTTCCGATTTATAAATCCGGCAACAGGTTCAATTGCGAAAATTATCGACCCATTAGTATCTTGTTTTGCCTCGGTAAATTGTTTGAATCATTGGTGTATGATTCTCTTTATCACCATATTCAACCCTTCCTGTCGCTTAGACAACATGGCTTTATTAAGAATAGATTGACGACTTCTAATTTACTTGTATACAAACACTATCTTTGCAGTGCTTTTGCCAAGATAAATTATGTTGATATCATATATACCGATTTCACGAAAGCATTCGATAAAGTAAATCATAATATTATATGTATCAAATTAGCATGTTACGGAATAAATGGGAGTCTGATGAGACTCAACAGGAGGAGTCAGTTAGTTACTACAAAAAGTTTCAAATCCTCACCCGCTTCTGGTGACATCGGGTGTGCCACAAGGGTCCCATTTAGGTCCTTTATTTTTTATAACATTTATTTAAATCTTATCGATAAATTAACATGTCCATGCCTGTTGTATGCAGATGATTTGAAGCTCTTTTCTATTATCGATACATTCAGCGATCCGTTAAATCTTCTGTCGAATTAATACTGAACAAACTAGCAAGTTATTCGTTTTATTATATCTTTTCAAAATAGTGTCCATTTACATCAATACATAGCTGCATCCGATGGAACCACTGAGAACAGCACTTTGCAAACGCAGTCACTCCTTCCTCCGCGTCCATGAAACGTTTTCCTCGAAATTTTTCTTTTATTTTCGGAAATAAATAAAAATCACAAGGTTGTCTGATGCCGCAAGTAGTCGATTGTTTGCTTGACCGCGTATTCTGGGGGGGGGGGGGGGGGGCAAAATTCCGCTCGCGACTAATACTCATCGGGGCAAGCGAACAAAGAAACCAAGGCGACCCCTGTCACGCTATCCGTGAATTTTTGCAACATCAGGGTACTTCATTCCAACCTTACTGCTGTCCATTACCATCTAGAGACGGCGAAGCCGGCCTTGCTCTTTTTAACCGAGACTCAGGTGTCCTCTATTTTTTTTTTATAGGATAGGGTGACAAACGAGCACACAGTCCACCTGATGGTAAGTGATTGCTGTGGCCCATAGACATCTACATTTATCATTATTTGCGAATCAAAATGCAAATGCGTTGTCACCCGTGAGGACTAAGATGGAATGCCTCTTTTCCAGTAAAAAGGGTCTCCGGTTCTGTACACTCACCATACGACACACAGCAGTGTTAAGCTGCTATTTTACGCTGGTGTTCTGTGACCCATTCGTGCTACAATTATACTACTAATATAGCTGCAGCATGTCTCTACCACGTTGGTCCTCTCCGGCTGATACTTCATATCTCTCCTACCCGGGGTACAAATTGGAACACTCCTTTGTGTTCACACATCTGTTTTCGACGCCTCGGCAGTCTTGAAGGTACGGACCTGTCCATCATATGGCTGCGCGTAGACAGCGGCGACCATCCCCGCGTCTACGGGTGCCTCTATAGGTCCCATAGCGGTAATTCCCACACAGACCGACTCATCGACCACGTCCAAATGGCTGCAGACTCCGTGCTACAACAGGTCCCATCCGCAGAGATCGTGATACTCGGTGATTTCAACGCCCACCACGCTGAATGGCTTGGTTCTCGTTTAACCTATCATGCGGGTAGATCTGTCTATGACTTTGCTTTGGCATATGGTCTAACACAACTGGTTACTTCGCCTACGCGGATCCCAGATGTGGAAGACCATGTACATTCCCTGTTGGATCTTCTGCTGACCTCTCATCCGGACGGATATCAGGTCTCCGTCGATGCCCCTCTGGGCTCTTCGGACCATTGTCTGATCCGGAGTACGGTGCCACTCACGCTCCAATCGCAGTTGCGATCTGCAGCTTGCCGCCCTTGGGGGCGGGTTTGCTTCTCGCCGGAAGATCCCAGCGTTGCTGCCGATTCTGTTGCCGAACTTTTTATTCCATCCTCTGTGGTGCCCATCGGAGGCAGATCCCAGCCATGCTTTGGTCGCTCCTGTAAAATAGCATCACGCTATAAGTAGGAGTGCTACCGGGCCTGGGCTGACGCATCAACGTATCGGGATGTAAACACCAGCACAGTTAAAAAGAAGTATAATTCCGCCTCCAGGTCCTTCAAAAGCGTCATTGCCAAGACAAGGTAGATCAAATCGGCAGAATTGGCGAGAAGCTAGTTCGCCTTCCTTCGGGAACCCGTGCATTCTGGTCTCTCGCCAAGGCTGTCCAAGGGAACTTCTGTCAGCCATCTCTTCCATCTCTGCACAGAGAGGACGACTCACTGGCCCATGGCGCAAAGGAGAAAGCCGATCTTTTGAGCTCTCTTTTTGCGAACAACGACTGGGAACACATCGCTGACCATCCCGCGATGTGAGTGCTCCATGCCGGATGTGCGATTTACACAGTGCTCAGTTCGCAAAGCACTCTTCTCCCTGGACGTCAGCAAGTCGAGTGGGCCCGATGGAGTCCCTCCCATTGTGCTGAAGACGTGTGCTCCGGAGTTGGCACCGGTTTTAACGCGTCTTTTCCGGTACTCCTACTCCCAAGGCGTAGTCCCGAATTCATGGAAGACAGCTTTGGTCCACCTGATCCCTAAAAAAGGCGACCGCTCAGATCCGTCCAACTACAGGCCTATCGCCATCACCTCCTTGTTCTCCAAAATAATGGAATCCACTATATACTGCCAGCTCATGAGGTACCTTGAGGATCACCAGCTGATTAGTGACCGCCAGTACGGTTTTCGTCGGGGTCAATCAGCTGGTGATCTTCTAGTCTACTTAACTCATAGATGGGCGGAGGCAGTAGAGTCCAAGTACGGCCAATGCCCCCCGCATTGGCCGTTAGTTTGAACATAGTGAAGGCCTTCGATCGGTTCTGGCACAAGACGCTTCTTTCGAAGCTTCCTTCCTATGGGCTTCTCGAGAAATTGTACAAATGGATCACCAGTTTCCTTGCTGATCGGAGCATCAAGGTCATAGTAAATGGTGCATGCTCTGATTTCAAGCCTATCAACGCTGGTGTTCCACAAGGCTGCGTGCTATCACCAACGCTGTTTCTCCTGCATATCAATGATATGTTGGAAACTGGTAACATTCATTGCTACGCAGACGACAGCACTGGTGATGTTTTATATACCGGCCGTGCCAATATTTCTCGGGAAAAAGTCGCTGAGTACCGGGACCAACTTATGTCTGAAATCGAGTCTTTGCTGAACAAAGTTTCGGATTGGCGGCGACTAAATCTAGTCCAGTTCAATCCCCAGAAGACACAAGTTTGTACGTTTACCGATAAAAAGAACCCCTTTGTCGTATCTCCTCAGTTTCAAGGCACTCTCCTTGCTGCCTCAGCTAGTATCGGAATCCTCGGCGTCGACATATCGAATAGTGTGCAGTTTCGTGGTCACTTGGAAGGGTAAGCCAAATTGGCATCTAAAAAGCTTGGCGTGCTCAGCAGAGCGAGACAGTATTTCATGCCGGCACATCGCTTGCAACTTTACAAAGCGCAAGTTCGGCCTCACATGGAATACTGTTGTCATCTCTGGGCCGTGGCACCCCAGTGCCAGCTCCTTCCACTTTACCGCATCCCGCGCAGAGCGGTTCGAATTGCTGACGACCGACTTCTTTCTAATCGGCTCGATACACTGGCACTGCGTAGAGATGTTGCATCTCTTTGCGTATTTTATCGCATCTATCATGGGGAGTGCTCTGAGGAATTGTTCGGACTAATTCCAGCCGCTCAATTTCACCATCGCACATCGCCACAAAACTCGCGATACAATCCATACCATCTGGATGATTGGCGGTCCACCACTGTGCGATTTAGAAGAAGTTTTCTCCCTCGCACAACTTCCTTGTGGAATCGATTACCACCAGCGATTTCTCCGGACCGATACGACTTAGGAATCTTCAAGAAAAGAGCTTACACCTTTGTAAAAGGCCGGCAAGTAGTCACTAACCATCAGGTGAGCCGCAAGCTCGTTTGTCCCCTTTCTTATAAAAAAAAAAACTGTTTTTCGATCCTCTAAAACAATTGTTGCGTAATGACCTGTCCTTCCGAAGAACGAGGCGACCATCTTTTTTCCTACGCTTCGACCTCTCTTCACTTTAGTTGGCAACTCCTCGAAAGGAAACACCCAGACAGCAGACTGTCTCTTAGTTTCGGGATCATAACAATAAATCCAGCTTTCGTCATCAGCAATAATAAATAATAAAAACCACATAATAATAATAATAATAATAATAAATAAATAATAAATAGGCGTAGGGAAGTGACGACCCCATCGCCCGCTGACGTAACAGCTAAGTGACAAAACTGCTATGTCAGCGCAGTCAGTCAGTGCCTTGCCAAGAGGTGTGAGCGCCGTGCCTCGGCAGTATTGAGGGTGCAAAGGCCCGTTTGTGCTTACGGCCACACTATTAAACGGCGCCGGGTCTGGGCGTCTCCCGTTAATTGACGCCCAATTTAATGGATGATGGAAGATAATAGAACGCGCATAG